CTTTTGTGGCAGGTTTAATTGTTAAAATGTTCTCTCATGAATCCCCCTGCAAATCGGATGCACATTTATTTTTATTTAATTGCAAGAAACACACAATGAATAGAGAAAGAACGTGCACGCTTGATACCAGGGAGATCTAAAAGCAGATTTCAATCTATGTCTTGCTGTTATTTGCATTGTCGACTGAAGCTACAGCTGAAAATCATCTCAGTAATGAGCTGAATGCTTTTAATAAGCTCCTGCTTTTGCGAGAAAACCGCAGTAACATAAACCAGAGTCGCACTTTAGCCTAACTATTTTGATATCGATAATTAATTCGGTCACTCGCAGCCTTTTATAAAATTTGATGCAACAAAAAACCAAACAGACGTTGCTTTATAGGCCTCGCTCCTGCACTTCAATCAGCATCAATTTGTTTTAGTGGTCAATCCAATTACATGACATAACATATGGTCAAAAAGGTCAAAGTAGGTTTTATGCACCCCCTGCGTCCTAATTAAGCTGATCGACCTTTTTTCCATCTTTGAAAATTTGTCAGAAAAACTTGGTTATTGGTGCATTTATATAGAATAATGTTTGGATTCTTTTGCTGTGAGCAGTTCTCATGAATCGCTCGTGTGTGAACAGGCCTTAGTCATTGGAAATGTGATTATACGAGGAAAAAAAAGAGCTTCAGGTGATGACTTCTGCAGCTCGAGAGAGGAGCAAAGTGGCCGTTACACTCAGGAGATATGGAAGCATGAAGCACTTGTCACCCCACCAGCCTACGCCACCACAGCGATTCCCTCCGGTTCGGAAGGAGGAGGAGGAGGTGGCGATGCTGCCGGAACAGCCATTGGATTGTCTCAGCTTATCTTGGCTCGCATGAAGGAATCATCCCGAAAGCCTTTTAGGAAATGGACCCTGGCTTTGTGCGGAGCCAATTGATGTTGGCTCTCCAGATCGGCGTTTGTCCAAATGGAGTTGAAGCAGGGCCGTGAGCATTCCTTTATCTTGGCTATTGTGCTTTTGGCTCTTGATTCCTTTTTTTGCCTACACACACACAAACACGGCGTTCACTTCAGGCCGGCGAGTGGATGAGTTTATGCACGTGCGTAGGTGTTTCGCACAAACACGCATACAAGAGGCGCATAATTACACACGGAGTGGCGTAATTATGCATACGTGCACTCGCAAAATTATCTGCATGCACACATGCAAAGTGGCATAATTACGCCACATACAGTACGTACACCCACACACACACACACATACACAGAGGAACTGCTGATCAACTGCATGACCTTCTCTCTAACAATGTTAATGTCACCACCTGGGGGAGGAGGAGGGAGGAGGTGATGGAGTGATGGGAGCGAAGGAGAAAGATGGAAAGAAAGAAGCGCATGATAAGCCTCCTCCCTCCTCACCTGGAGCCTCTTTCATCCTCCTTACCTCGTCTTTCCATTCGGGAATGCTCGCACGCGTTGCCCCGCTACATCACCGTGGGTCGCAACCTAACATTTAGCGTGCACGAACCCCTTCAACTGTGTGTGTGCGTGAGGCCCGTGGCTCGCCCGCTGACAGGATCCTGTTACGCCAAATGTCACACTTCCAAAAAGGATTCGGCCCCCCACAGAGAAAATGAAGTCAAGACCTTCCTTCGCTCCGTCTCCCTCTCTCTCTCTCCTGCCTCCTTCACCTTGTCCCTCCATCGCTCACCTCCTCCTCCTCCTCCTCCTCCTCCTTTACCTTCCACTCAGACCCCACTCTCGCTTATCCGTTTCTATCCTCTTTTCCGCTCCCTTGAACTATCGCTACCTCGCACACGCTCACCTAAGGTTTGCAGGCCTCAGCGTTTTGCTGAATAAAGTCCCCCTTTAACTGGCTGGTTTTAGGGTATAATTAGTCCTCACCTTGGGAGAGGAGGAGAATGAAGGAGGGGGAAGGGGGGAGAGAAAAAAAAAAGGTTGATTTTAAGCAATTGATAGGGGCAGAAGGAGGGTGGTAATTGTGAAAATGAGTGGCGGAGGAGTTAAAAGAACAGTTTGTTTTTTTTCTGCAGCTCATCGACTTGCTTCATCATGTCTCGGCGGCTTCAATATTTAATTGTGCTCTGAAAGAAGGAATAAAGGGGAGGAGAGAAGAAAAAAAAATCCTTTAATTCACAACTCATTGGCCGCAGTCATCAAGGAAACAGTAAAGACCTCTTAGATAGAAGTTCTTTTTGAAAGCAGAAAAGAAGAAAAAATCGTAGGCGTGCAGTGGAGAGAGGAGACATTATCTTCACTCCTCTGTTTAGATGTGGTCTCGGGCAGCTTTTTAATTTGATGTCAGTATGCAAATAGTGTAAACAGTCACAAAAAAAAACTCCAAATCCTCTGAGTTTTTTTTTTTTTTTTTTAATTCCTGGAAGAAAATGACTTAGAGGAGAAATCGCACTCCCTTAGCAACAGACACCCCTCCTCCAAAAAAGAAAAAGGTTTTATTTTTAGAAGGTGCAAACAAGAAAAAGGGGGGAGTTCTAAGATTGTAAATGTCTCTGATGTGTTCAGTCTGTACAACCTTATTCCTGATAATGGAACTAGCTACTCTGTCTGTCAGTGCCTATTTACACACAAATGAAGTGGCGAGTAGCACGCGCCCAGTGGAGCTGCTAGCCTCCATCTCAGCTGTCAAAACGGGTTAGTGGCTACAAGCGAAACACAACGATCCCTGGGATCAAACTGGCGCCGTCCATTCAAACATAATAGCTTCATCCTTGGACATGGAGCGTCTCTTTTTTTTTCCCCCCCCTTCTCTCCTCGCTCTTTCCTTTAGAACCTCACCAGCTTGCTGCAAAGTAATAGACTTCTCAGGATGCCAGTTCACACAAATCGGGGATGCAGCCTTTTATTTGCCCTCCGCGGGGAGAGGTGTTTGGAGTATTAGGGATGAAGCAGACCATAACTACAGCTGAATAAATCTTCCTATCTTGGCTCCGCGGAAGCCGGTGCACACATGGCTTGTCAAAGCTCTATAAAATGTTGTTTGATAGGAGTTCTGTACAGTTTAGGACTTCTCCTCCTGCTATCCACTCGCCTCGCTTTCGTTCCGCGCTGCAGCGGTTTGCAATCAGTCAGAGTTTAATCAGCCGTCTTGCCGCCGTTGCCAGGTAATCCTGGCTGTCTCGGCGGCTATCTGTGCGTGTGTGCATGTGACAGCTGGCAGAGCTGCGAAGTTGCCTGACTGGGTGAGTGGATGGCACCATGCAGATTTCCTCTCCGCGGCGTGTAAAGGCATATTGGATGATCTGATGGCTGTTGAAATTGTCAAGTGGGATTTGAGGCTGAGGACGGGCATCTTCAGTGCAGATGTCCAAATGTGTAAACTTGAATGAATTGAATCTAAATTGAGTGTTTTCTCTCTCGCAGACCTGCCTAGAACTGGAGCGTTATCTGCAGACGGAGCCCAAGCGTCTGTCTGAGCTCTTCGACCAAGACTTGGACGGCCTCCTAACTCCAGCCTATCTGAAGGAGGACGGAGAAGAGGAGCTGTCAGACGCCCTTCTACCCAGCCTGCCGAGCCTCCCGGAACCTCCCAGCCCACCTCCAGTGATACTCTGCCCCACACGGAAGCACTTCCCCACCGCCGGCGCGATAAGAAGAGAACTCAAATCCAAAGGACAGGGTTTGGAAAACGTGGAAGGGATGGAAGGGGTCCACCAGGCTCAGCTGAGCGCCGTGACCTCCCTGACGCCGCCGTCGTCGCCAGAACTGGGCCGGCACCTCGTCAAACCCAACCAGACGCTGACGGCCTCGGCCGACGGGACGCTCACCTTGAAGCTGGTGGCCAGGAAGGTGGGGCTCAGCGCGGCCCGGCTGGTGGCGGGTCACGCGCTTCCCGTCCGGATGAAGGACGAGGAAGAGGGGGCCGCGTGCGTGATCGGGGTCGGAGAGCTACCGGAGAACAAGAAGAGGATCCACCGCTGCCAATTCAACGGCTGCAGGAAGGTGTACACCAAGAGCTCCCACCTAAAAGCCCATCAGAGGACGCACACAGGTGAGGATGAGCCAGAAGCTCGTTGATAAAAGGGTTGTTTTTCGGTTTGTGTTTCTTCCCACTGTTAGTGGTGGAAGAAGGTGGCAGATGGAGCAGATGGAATGCAAAAAAAATCTGTAATCAGCAGTTTGGAAAGAAAGTTGATCAGATATTTTAGGTTTGCAAAGCACAAGAGGATTTGCTCACGGAGTCGATCAGAATTTAGTTTTTTTATTTTGCAGTTTGCACGTTCAGGGATTAAAAGGGTTTTTCTGCACGGCTTAGTCGGTAAATGCTGTCGTCTCACGTGAGCTACATTAATTGTTGTAAATGCATACATGGTTGCATAATGTGAATATGATTTGTGGATGCAAGCATGTTAGTTTTTAGATGTAAGTGATCATTTCCATTTCTGAGGACACCTCTCTCACCAGAGGTAGCAACTTGATACACCTGCCGGTAATGAAAGTGATTGACGCTCATTGCTGGTGACAGGTTAAAAAGGCTCGATGCTGAAGCTAAACGGCTGCTGAGCAAGACATAGGTAGCATGTCTGTGTTGCAGAACCGAATCAAAATCTTTTTTCATATTAAACCCAATCCGGCTCTTGTCTTTTCTTTGGATTAGCACCACGTTTTTTTTTTTTTCCTTCTACCAGTTCTATCGGCGGTGATCTCTCTGTGGTTTATGTTCACACTGCACCCGTCCCTCCAACCAGTCAGTGCTCCTGAGTTCTTTGATAACCCGACTTGAGATAATTGAGGAAAATCCACCTGCTTCACATTCTTGGACACACGTACAAAATGCACAGGAGGTGATAAGGAAGCGGCTTCTGTAATCACAGAACAGGCCTCTGTGAAATATGGAAATATCACAGATAAAAATGTGATGATTTAAGAAAAGCCCACTTCTCTTATCCCTCTCTTCCTACCTAAGTACTTCTCTGTGCCAAACCAGGGCAGGTCCTCCTTGTCAAGGTTCTTCTCAAGAAGGAAGGAGGAAGGAGGAGGCGGGGGAGGGTTCAGGAGCTATAACTCTCCCGCTCCTCCATCTCAATCCCAAACCACTCAGACCTCTGTCAGGGAGCTGTCCTCCGTCTGAGTAACTGCACAGTGATGGATGGATTGACCTGGATAGGCCGCCATTTCCCCACTTTATTTCAGGCCCTGCCGTCCGTCCTCTGTAAGTCTAGGTCAGTGTTTCTGAGGTTTGATTTTGCAGGAACCGGTTTTAAAATCAGGGAAAATATGCTTGAATTAAAGCGCGTCATAATCTCAGGGAGGCCATCGGCGGGCTCGGTCCGGTAATAAAGCACCGCTGAAGTGTTTAGCTCCTGAGTAGTTTGGCAAGGTGTGAACAGTGTTCTGCTGGAAATAATTGGGCTCAGTCTCTACCCCCACCCCCACCCCTCGAAGAAAAGCTTTCAGGGGTGGAACGAGATGAATATTGACATCTGACGTGTGGCCACGAGTCTTTACTTAACCGGAGGAAATACAGCAAAGAGCGTCCATCACGCTAAACCAAGTTACAGCGACTCATATTAGATTTGTGCGCTCCCCGGCATCTAAATCCATCCACTGTTTGGTTGACAGATCGCCAAAGCTGTGCAACAAAGACATGCGACTTGTTTACCAGCTCTGGCTCGCTTGTATTTTTTTTTTTTGTGCGGGGTGTGAATTTGGAAAAAAAAAAAAGTCAACTTGTCAATTTCTGCATGTTAAGGATAATGAAAACATGCCGGACGTGTGATCACACCCTCCGTGGTGCGCAGGCATCAGCCTGACTGGAACAAAGGGCACAGACATGCCATCATTGATTTCCCCAGTGTGGCGTGTCTACAGCCCCTGTGATTAAACTCCACGCCAACTGGGCCAGCTTCATGGGAGAACGGTGCCATCGGTGCTGTCCGCTCACAAAATCCATACAAGCAAAAAAAAAAAAAAAGCTGGGCATGAGGTCTTAAACAAACTAGAGATGAATCATCTTGAGTGTCCAGATGAGAACCAGAACATGATGCTGGTGTTTGGTGCTCTGTAAGACGTGGACTCTACTTAGAAGGGAGATTCATTTGACTTGCGTGACGAGCAAAACGAGCAGCAAATAGGGAAAAGTATCAAGGAAGCAACTTGTTAGCTAGAATGGTTGTGCAGATGGTGATGTAGGTCGGCTGGTTACATGCTTTCTTTCTGCGTTTTTATTTCTTGGTTGCTTTTATTAGTCTATTCAAGTAGTCAGTTACAGCCCTATCTCCTGAAAACAACACCCCCATTCAACAACAATCCAGTAGTAAACGTATTTACTCCTGGATTCTGTTTGTTAAGTATCTCAAATATGGTTCTCGTCATTACATCTTTGCCATTTATCTTGTTGCTTTACTGAAGAAAAATGAAGAAGAAGCTTCAAACACGTTTTGAAATATTCTAACTAAAACTGTGCTGTTTGGCTAAACCTACCCGCTTAGTTTTGGAGCCTAAACTTAACCAGTAAACTGAGAAGTAAACAAATAAAAACAGAAGACTGATGGCCCAACATGTGATGCAACACCTGGTCTGTTTGGCAAAAGGACTTTAGCTGATGTACCTATCTTGCCTTTCAGGGAGCAAAAACACTTTTTTCAAAACATGCGTGAAACTGCAGTTTAGTTGAATACGAATGTAGTTTTTGGGCAACAAGGGCGTCATTTGGACAATCACAGCTAGTTCTTCAGAGCCCAAGGTCACATTGTTAGATTGCTGTTTATTTAAATATACACTAATTGGTAGATCAGGTGTATAAAACTATGATGTTTTGCTGGAAAACTTCAGAAAGCATCAGTATTTCCTCATCACACCACAAAAACTACTCAGGAATAACAAGAAAAGCACAACAAAGAGCCTAAAGTGGTAATCGGGCCTCCCAGTTCCTTAGATCTCAACCTGATCGAGCGTTCCCAAGATGGAACCCAACAATCTAGTGCCAGCATCCTGGTGGTGGACCCAACAGGACACCCCCTGAGGTTTAAATGGTGGATGGATCCGAGCTGTTTTGTTGCCCTGAGGGTGACCTACACAATATTAGATTAGCTTTAACGCTAACTGTGCTGTTTTCCGAAACCTACCCTACTAGGTTTTAAAGTTGGGGCTGATCCATATATATTTAATACTAAACAGAGACACATTCTCGAATTTTAGAAGCTAACATTGTCTTGATAACCAACATTCACTATAATATGACACCACCTGGTAAAAACAAGGACGATCCCTGTCAGATCAAAATGTCATTTCCCAGCTAATGTGGCGTGCCCTTTCTTTTCCCCCCCTCTTCAGTAAATTGTTTAAAAATTATAGCGATTTAATGATGGCACTATATGCTCCATACAGCATCTTAAAGTGCACGGTTCCTCGAGGAACCCCTCCCCACCCCCACCTCGAGCCTATCAGTGTCACTTAAGGTGCGAGAAGGAACATCTGTCTTGTTATTTAAACCAGGAAGGTAGAGCGACGAAGGGCGGGGGGGGGGAGATGTCGACGTAAGATGACAAAAGGAAACACAAAAGCTAAGAAGAGGAGAGAGAGAGAGAGTGACATGGAGTGAAACAAAGAGTAGATGAAGACAGAAGACAGGGATGTGGAGGGGGGGAGGAGGAGGTACAGTAGAGCGACCCTCTTCAGAAAAAAAAAGACAGCAGTGCCACAGGCTCCCCCATTCACTGAGCCATTATCCTGACAAGTTTAAAGATGTCATTACTCAAATCCTCTTTTTCTTAGTTGTTATTTCCATAAATTACCGACGGAGAAAAGGCTGCGATTTAATCTGGAATTAGACGAGCTGAGTTGAAATGACAGTGCCCTGTAGAGCTTTTTGGTGAATAGGCTTATGGCAGATAAGGAGTGGTACAATTAGATTTTGGGCAGGGTAAAACACGACGGCTGTTGGGTTCTTCTTCTTCTCTCTCTCTCTCTCTGGCTCTTCTTTCCTTTCCCTCTGTGCCTCGGCGGTGTTGCACATATTCCCCATAGCTGCTACTTTGTCGGTTAGTTGCTGCGATATTGACGAAGTGACACCAAATGCTTCCATCGACTGGGTTTTTTTTTTTTTTTAAGCAAACACCCTAAAACAGTGATATGATGATGTGCTTAACCACGCACACACTTAACTCTTATTTTTACTCCACCAGAATTCATGAACCGCATTTGACTAAACCTCCCTACAAAATCTCCCGCTCTGATCGCCCGTCCCTCATCACTCTTCACCCAACATGCCTCTCTCCTCCCCGTCTCTAAGCCCGCAGTGCTAGAAGCCTATAAAACGTTCTCCGAGAGCCGCTGTAATGACCTCTGAGACCCAGATGCCCTGCTTCGGCTCCAGCTAATGGAGGGAATGTAATTAACTTCCAACGCTGGCACCTGAGAGGCTGGAGAGGGCGCGTGCGTTTGCGTTCGGAAGTAACAGATTACATATAATGGGATTACAGTGACTCAGGAAACACCCAGTTATCAGATTACGGATGAGAAATATGTGATTTGATTATTTGGGAAAAACATCAAAAGCAGAGGAGGAGGGAGAGAGAAAAAAAGAAGCATTTTTACTTTTTTTTTTCTCCCTCTGAGTGGCAGTAAATTAGGCTCTTATTAAATAATGCAGAATAAATAATTGCACTGTCCACAGTCGGGATTCTTTTTAAAATCGGAACAAATAATCCACTTAGCTTCATAATCGACATTATATGTTTTACAGGCAAAGTAATCCAAAAGTAACAGAGCATAATCAGATTATGCTGCTGAGTTCAGGCTAATCCAGTGGATTAGGGCCGCTGATTGCCATTTAAACCTGTCAGTCAGATTGTATTTTAAAAGTGGCCTTTCTAGTCAAGTGTGCGCGAGAGAGAGAGAAAGTGTGTGTTTGCAAAATAGTGTGTACTTGCTCTACTTGCCTGTTTGTACGAGGGCATCTTGAGGGAGAGGAGAGCGGATGGAATGGGGGGGGGGATCTGTTGCTAGGCAACGGGGGCAGTGTATCGTTGGAGGAGTCAGTAGCTGAGTGGTTATGTACTGCTGCAGGCTCTGGTCTCTTAGTGCCCCCTCCCCTCCCCTCCTCCTCCTCTCCTCCTCCTCCTCCTCCTCCTGCACCACCACCACTACTACCATCGCCACCCCAGCCCCACTTCTCCCTCCTCCCCGCCTCTTGCCCTGTACAGCTCTACGGTTACCGTCGCTAGGCAACTGCCTCCGTGCTCTGCCAGCGTGCTCGGTAATTGGCCGGTGGCATGGCGGCGTGCCGTTGCCAGATCCAGCCAGCTGCACTGACTACTGCCTCCTCATGTTTCACCGCTACACCCCCTACCACCACCACCACCACCACCACCACCTTCTCACATACACACACAGATACACCCCGCCCCCTTGCTTCCATTGCTAGGCAACACATTCAGGCATCCCTGCCTCCCGGGAATTTCATTGGACAGAGCCGGATGGCCCAAACCTGCTGCTTTGGGTGCTTCTGGGAAGTGAGGCAGTATGTAGGGATGCATGGCCACAATGGGGACACGCATGCATGGATGGATGGAAGATAATATAGTGTGCAATTTATCTGACATAAATTAATTTCATCTATGATAGTGGAGGATTTTTTCTTTTAATACAAATCAGTCAAAACGAACCCATGGTGGTGTTTTTATTTTTTTTTTGTCAGTTTCATGAGACTGGAGGTCACTCTTTTTCTCACTTGTTTATTTATCACCTCATCACTGCTGTAACCCAACGCCCCTCCGTTTCTCACCACCCAAACTCACATCATTCCCGCTAATGGAGTTTTTTCCCGTAACACGCCCGCCCCGCCGTATATTTAATAGAAAGTGCTCGAGCGGGTCAGATGTTAAGAGATTTGTATTGTTTTTCTGATTTGCTTTTTTTTGCCTTGTGCATTTTTAGTGTCAACTGCATTTTTTTTTTTGACATTTAACACCAGTGGGGGGCAAAAAAAGGCCTTTAATTAGAAATACAGGACACAGTGATGATTTTTTTAAACTTGTTTTTACAACAGCTGGTACAGATAATGCCACTAACTGTCTTTACGCTCGTCTTGACTTCACAAAGCAGCATTGATTTCTTTCTTCTTCTTTTTTTAATTCAATGGATATATGTGCCAGAGCCACTCAGCTGGTCAGCGCGTCTGTATTCAACCGTGAGCACCGGTCCAGATGGGATGTGACTGATGCAGGTGACATCTTTTGGAGGTGGACGCAGCTGGCAGATTGTGGCTTCCTTGCCATTATGTGACTGGCCTAATTATCACCACCACCACCACCACCCTCCCTCCCTCCTCTCTCTCCCCTGCCGGCATATCTGCAGCCTCCTCTGCCTTAATCCACTTCTGCAACACTTCTCTCCTACTCCACTTTTTTCCCCCCCTCTCCTGGTCTCTTCTCACCTCCTCTCTCTCTCATCCACCTTGCCTCTAATCCTCCCCTCCTTCCTCCTCCTCCTCTCTCGCTTCACTTCTCTCAACCCTCTTCTTGCGTGTTCAGCAAAGATGGGAGACCGGTGGGAGCTTCTCCATCTCCGTGTTAAACATTGCTCTCTTTTCGGTCAAGTAAAAAAAAAAGTGCAGGATGCATTTACCTAATCTACAGCATTAAAAGAAATTTAGGGTCTACAATCCAGAGTGCAAAACAACAAACAAGCCTGTGATTGGTGCACCAGCGATCAAACAGGTGCTTATGTGTTTTTCATCCCCCAGGTGAGAAGCCGTACAAGTGCTCGTGGGAGGGCTGCGAGTGGCGATTCGCCCGGAGCGACGAGCTGACGAGGCACTACCGCAAACACACCGGCGCCAAGCCTTTTAAGTGCAACCACTGTGACAGGTCTGTCAAAACACAACTCTCCCTCCCTTCCCTTTTCCGTCTCATGTGTTTTTTTTTTTTTCTTCCATTTTCCAAAAGGGTTATTTGAAGTACTTCCACGAGCGCAGCGGGCTGTGTTTTACCATTGTGTTTTGTACACAGTTTGGTGTAGTAAGAGAGCGCTACAAGATGCTGGTAACACACCCAAAATGTGTTTGGTACTGACCCAGTTTAAAAGTGTGCTGGCAGGATTACTAATGTGCTTTTTTTTTTTTTTTTTTTCTCGCAACCAGACTCTCCGCTTGTTCAGTCTTTCAGTAAGAATCCAAAGAGTGCTCATTCTGCTCTAAACCCACATTAGGCCTGGTGCAGAATATTAATAGTGAATCTTCTCACATGGTGATACATGGCCTTGATTTGGAGGCTGCTTTCAGACGGGGACAGAGGTGTGAAATGAATGTAGAAGCCATTAGCATAGTCGCACCTAACTGTGTGGAATATTAATTTGAACTTAGGTTTTTTTTTGTTTTTTTTTTCGAGTAATGGTTTAAATAATTTGTTCAAGCAGAATATCTCGGCAACAAATCACGATTCCTCAAAACGCTGCTTCATGGTTTAAAAGACAGGTTGTCTTTTTTTAAAAATGACAAAATTA